TGCAAAAAGTCAGAAAAAAAATGAAAAGAGAGGAGGAGAATACCTCTGAGAAGAGAAGCTTGGGCAGTGAGGCGAAGGGAGGAGAAGAAAACATTAGACTCCTCTTCATCAGTTACTAATGGAGAGAAAAAGGCGGCAGAGGTTGGTAACTGAATGCCAAAACTAGCCTTTGTATTTTAGCTCAGAATAGCAACAGACACTCTCAAGTCTCAACACACACGCACTCTCTTTCTGGGCCGATACTGGGCCGTGCTATAGGGGCCTGTTTGCCAACTCTCTTTAAACTAAGTTGTTTTTTTTTTTTGTTAGGGGCTGGGCTTTTTGCATGGGCCACTAAGCTTGCCCAGGCTAAGAATTACGTGGGACCCACGCGCCACGCGGCGTTGAGCACCCACGCACCACGTTCAAACACAGTCAGGCTCAGAATCAGTCCCTCTTAATTGTTCAGAACTTGTAATCCGACATCGCCGCTCGGCATTCATCGCGGCGTTGAGCACCCACGAGGTTAACTTTGACACCCCCGTCTTGGTCATTACTTTGCCGTAAGGCGGACTCTCATCTTACAACCACCCTCTTAGTACTTTTCCTCGAACCAAGGTTTCAGTTCTTTTCCTTCATGCACAGGAAATCCATTCTCTCGGACTCTACTACACTACCTTGCTCTCTGTGGAAGAAATGTGTTGTCCGCGCCAGGTCTTCGGACGGCTCTACGCTATCGAGTCTCTTATGCGACGTTCACACGTGCCACAGCCCGGACGCATCACTGCCGGCAGCGTGAGTCTCCACCGGCCCGCCACGTGCCCCGCGAACACCACAGTGCAGGTCCACTGTACTGCCAACGTGGCCTCCCCACGTCGCGACACTATCTAGAGGACTGAAGCAACCGTGACAAACTGTTCGAGACTCTCCATCACGGCCCGAAGCGATCGACTGTCTCCCGCGAATCCCGTCAGTGGAGCTCGTCCTCGACCTCTGTGTCCTATCTCCCTGGACGGCCCAGACCGCCTGGCGATCTTCCTCCTGCGTCTCGAGCATGAGCTCAGCCTCCGCCCTCGTCCCCAAATCTGGCCCACTCCTCCCTCCCCGCCGCTACCCCTCCCTCTACCGCCCCTGCTCCCCTTCCTCAGGCGACCCCGCCACGTCTTCTCCTCCTCCAGACTCCTGCCTCCTCGGCCGCGCGCACTCCCCGCGCAATCTTCTCCGTTCCGACGTCGTCCTCTCGGCTCGACGTCTTCCTACGCGCAGGCGGCGGCGGCGGCGGCCACGTGCTCTCGGTGGGCTGGAGTATGGGCGGCTACCGTAACTGAATCGAGAAAGGGCGTTGGTTTTCGGTTTCGACGTGGAAGTCGAAAAGCGGGCGGTGCGGTGGTCCGATGCGGCTAGGGTAGATGAGGGTGGTGTGGAATGTTGTGTTTGATGGAGGGGTGGCGGGGCGGTGGCGGTGATTGGACACGGTGGAGGGGGAGGCGCGGTCGACGGCGGCGAGGACGAGATTTGGTTTTGCGAGGAGTTGCCGCCATGGGAATGGCGGGGTTGTTCGGTGTCCGGACCGGGGGTGCTCGGGCGCGCGCGTGTGCGTGGCGGAATTGGGGCTGGGGGCTGCATGGGGGAGGGGAGGGGGGTGGAGCAGGGTGAAGTTTGGGTTGATGAGCAGCGTGAAGGAGTGGAGGTACTTGACCGTTGAGGATGCTCTGCTGCATATGCAGCCTTTTCTTTTGCAATCAAATGTGTGGATATAATTATTAGAGGAGAAATGTAATAGAAATTAAGCAGTGTAATTCCTCAATGAAATAGTCTACATAATGCAGTTTATGCACTTAATACAAAAACAGAGAGGTGATAACAGAACCCGCAAAATTTCTTATTGAGCTCTTAATTGAGCTCTTAACAGAACCCGCAAAATTGCTTATTGAGCTCAAAATTGCTTATAGAGAGAGTGTGAGTAATACAAAATAAATTGTTCCTTGGACTCTTCTTGTCATAAATAAATTTGATCGTAGTACATATATTATGTGTACCTGTTCTTTTTCCACACTCTCCTTACATATGATTACATATGATAAAACAACCTACACATACGCTCTATGCTATCGGCAAAAATGATCTTACACTTTCACAGAAATGAAACAATAACCAAAACACTGACGGCCTAAGATACAGACTTCTCCCAATGCCATGCATTGCCTGATTCAGGTGACCGCCTATAATGAACAGGCCTACATCGCCTTGGCTTCGACTCTCGTGTCGATCTCTTCCGCTCATCACGCATCACCTTCTCATACTGATACCCTACGATGTTCTCCTCAGTGCGCTCGTTCATCTTCCTCGATTTTGAAGATACCGGTTCACAGTAGCCATCGCCATTTCTTTTCCTACTGTTTCTCGCACCCTGCTCATTCTTCCACAGATCATTACATTCGCTATTCCATAGAGTATCACTTCCCCCATCTTTTTCCACAAACTTATCCCAATTCACAGAATGTTGTTCTTCGGTATTTCCATCCACAGCCTTGCCCCATCCTGTAACTGGAATTACTTCATTCTCAAAGATGACTTCAGTTTTCTCATCAAACTCGGGAAGTGAGTGAGGACTTTCCAAATCTTCTATCAGTTTCGTATCAATCACAGCGTTGTGATCAACCTCATCGATACATTGATCTGGGTCAGGCAGAGGGATCTCGAAAGGGAGACCATTAATGTCTGCGTAGTAACGGGATTTTGAGTTCTGGAAAGCTTCGAACGCCGCAGAATCGTCCCAATTCAGTATGTTTTTATGTGAAGAAAGATAAAATTTGGCCCAACAAACTTTTTCCCAAGGAATTGAGCAAACCGATGTGCAGAATTTCTTCTCCCATAAGGAAGCTCCAGATTGTGACGATCCTGGAGAATGAATACAAAAAATAAGTATCAGTTTCAGTATCAGAACTCAGATACTCAGAACTCATAGATAAGTAAATGAAACATAGACTGTTGGCAACTCTCGGTGTATTGATAAAACATTAGAGCATGAATTCCCACTTCAAAGTTAAAAACTAGAGCAGACGAGCAATAATCTACTAACAAAATAGTGACACGCACAACACGGAAATAATGCTTTAATGAGAGGAAAGCACGAGAGGTGGGCAGCAGGAAAAGATGGCTATTATGATATGTTATTTACTTACCAGGCAAGAAACATCAAAAGATTATCCTGAAATGTTTTCAAGTTGGAGAAGAATCTGTGACTTCAAAAACACGGAACTATCAGTACTTAACGGCCTACTGTACATAAATAACAGTCTCAACCTAACGCAGCCAGTCACTGCTCAGTTTCTCATTCTTCACAGAATGAAATAAAACATGATCCTGAGAAATGAACAATTAGGAAGTAAATTAAAGAGCATCATTCCATCAGACAAACATTGCATTGTAACTACTAGAAACACGTTCAAATACAGAACATAAACTGAACCGAGGTCAAGCATTTGGTAGAAAACTTGACAGAAAGGGAAAATGGCAATACATCAGATATAACGAACAATTTTAGAAACCCATCTTATACGAAATTGCATGAAAAATGGTGAGAAATCTACATAATATAGAGGAAGTGTAAAAGCTCTTCTCCCACGAGGGAGCTCCGGATTGCGAAGAATTTACCATCCACATCATACTGATGATACTAGAAAAAAGAGCAGTAATAACATAAGTAAATCTTGATGCACACAGCATAACAATGCTTAACATAAGGAAGAAATACCATGATAGAAGCATAAACTAACTATTATGATATGTTATATACCTGCCAACGAAGAGACATATGAAATGAATTGCCAGAGAAAAGAACATATATCTGGAAACCTTCACAAATACTAAGCATTTAGTATTTTAGGAATCTACTATCCATCTACAAGGAGTAAGAGACTCAACCTAACAATTGTCAGAATTCATATTCTAGTTTTTTTAATACATGTGAAAAACTACCTTAACAAAACAAAAGCAATTGTTAGAATGTAGACTTTATAATCCTCATCCCTTACCACACAACTTAGGAGTTTCGGTGCAATGAAAGGATCCTTTGACATGGTATCAAAGCAATCTAGGAGAAACAGATACCTCTGCATGAGTCTATATTTTGACCCATAAAAAGGTTTTCAACCTGTAGAACCGTGTTAAAATAAAAATTCAATACCCTCAACTTACCATAATTTCAGAGTTTTGGTGCAGTGGAAAGGTGCTTCAACAGTAATCCTGAAATGAATAAGCAATCAGGAAATCTTAAGTCTCATACATGTAGGTAACATTCTAATGCAACTGCACAAAACACTAGGAACTGCATCTAGATCAAACATTTTATAGATCCTAGAAGAGAAAAACTATGATACATCAGTAAACTAATGGTACAAGAAATTTAAAAAACATATACCCGATTTGAAACTTCATGGTGACCAATGAGAAATCCACATAATAAACAAACCAATACCTAAAATGGAGAAGTTATACACAACATACCGCACGACTACTCAGAAAGAATTAGGACGCAGAGAGAGATTTACATAATGAGGAAATTCCTACATCGCACAGGGATTATGGATCTAACGATATATTAAAGGAAACTTCTATGGACATCCCACTTAACAACATACACCCATCACTCAAAAGACAGTATTACTTAAAAAACGAACAGCAAACATGGGCATCGTGTACAAGCACTAAATGGTGTCCAATATGGAACCTCCTACATAATTCACACGGTAACACAGTGAAACTAAAGATGCAAATGCTAGTATGTATGTTATATCTAAGTTCAAAAATAAACAGAGAACGGATCTGGACTCAACAGCCCAACATAACATCGCACGTGCTGTTTTAAAAGCGAAGCAAAATGTATGCCATACACAACGATGTAAATTGACATAAATCACAGTATGAACACTAAAATTACAATACATCAACAAAGACACCACACAAGATCCGATCTTTCATAAGTAATCATTGATAAACCCCAAAACCCACTCATATTCCCCCATCAAAGCAGGAACAAAACCCTAAAAGAAATCAACTTGAAGCCTAAACACAAAACCCATCACAATTCTCCATCAAAGTAGCAAAAACCCTAGAAAGCAATCGATTTCAGTTCAAAACCCCAAAAACCCTAAAAAAAACAATGGCTTCAACCCTAAACACACACACACAATGATAATCATTGATAAACACACACACACACACACACACACACACACACACACACACACACACACATATATATAGAGAGAGAGAGAGATTAATGGGTATCATTGTCAAGGAGGGGATTTCCCTCCTTGACAATGATGTGGCACAATCCCCATGGTGGGGATTTCTCTCTCCTACTTTATTCTTGTGTTGGAGATTTCTCTCCTATTTTATTCCCGTCATAGGGATTTGTAGACGTCAAAAATTGCCTATAGTTTCCCCCGCACGCAGCTTGAGATGAATCGAAGACGACGAACGCCATCATCTGAGTCAAATAAGATTATCCAATGCCGTAGAGAAGCTATCAAGTACATGAAGCGGGTCGGCGAAGCGTATGAGTCAACGGAACGACGAAATGCGCAAAACGGCGGAACAAGATCAAACCGGAAAGTCCGAAGAAGCCCCTGGCAGCCGAGTCGCATCAAAACAACTCGACCAAGGCCAGGTGGCTCGGCCTTGCCACTCTAGGGTGGCTCGCACAGTGCCAAGCCACCCTAGGGTGGCTCGCACAGTGCCGAGCCACCCTAGGGTGGCATAGAAACGCCCAAAACGCGTATTTCGACACTTTTCGCAGGATTTGATCATTCCAGAACCTCCCCAACAGTTTTGATATCATTTCTAAATATGGTTAAGTGGTTATTAACTGAAGATAAGATCAAATCATCATATCTTATCCGAAAATGCTGTGACCGAAGCCTATAAATACAAGCCTAGGACCCTATACACGGAGGATCTAAAATTAGAGGCGAGGCGTTGTCAAATTGGAGAGTGAACCACGAATTTCAGAGGAGGGCTAGCAGATCTTAGCGAACTCTAACATAAAGAGGGAGATATTCGAAGGATCTGAGGCTCTGTTTCATCATTCCTTGAGATCAAACTTTGTTTTGATCTCGAGAAGAGTAGTAATCTTACTTTGTTGAGATTATTTACTTCTATGATTATTTCCCTCGTGAAGCAAGAGCATTGATCTTTTATCTTATTAACTGGATCTGATCCACGATGGTCCACGGATAAACCCCGACACAGGCAAAAATCTCACGTAAGCAGCGGGTGATAAACGTCCTCTGCGTGTGTTTCTAGAGAGTAGTAATTTTTGTTTTATTCGTGTAAGAAAAGTCTTATAAAAAGAGTAACTCTTTCAAACTTATTGTAAACGATTGAAGTTGTATTGAGTTCCATGAATAAACCAACTTTCGATACAAACACGCTGGCGATCACAGTGGGAGGCAACAGTCTCGCTGTCGAGGTTGTCGTGTTACAACCGTTGATCAAGATCCTGGTTGAAGCAGAGGTCGAATACGAGTTCGACCGACAGAAGTTCGAGGAGTACGTCGCATCATCCTCCTCCAGATCCTCCCCTCCTTGCAAGCACAGGAAGACCTCTTCGTTGAAGAAGGTTCATTGGTCTTCGGATCTGATGCTGATAACAATTCCTCATCAATCAAGGAGTTGCTTATTAAAAGCTGTGCCAATTCTGACGAAGAGGGCTCGTCAGAGACGGCGCCAACGTCTTGCCCGTCAGTTCGCTAAAGTTCTGGAGCAGGTGAACGGACTTCGCTATCAAGCGAACTTAGAATTAAGGAGGCACCAAACAATGTCACGCCCCACTTCCCAAAATACCCAGGAATCGGAATGCGAACAAGCCCGCGACATATTAGGCCAAGGAGAAATAAATAATAGACCATTTCTACTCAATCTAATACGCTAAGCGCCAAACAATAAAGTGTGAAGTTACAAGTCCCCGATCACAATTAGCAAGAATATAATAAACAACTAAGAACAGAAAAGAGCCATGTCACAAATAGTATATCATCCGAGACACAAAATTTAGGTCAAACTTGCCCTTATTACAAAACAGTCCAACTAAAGAAATATGAAAATACATAGTCCAACAAAAATAGAAAGGAAATACTGTAAAAAAATAAACTAAGTCCATCAAATGACTAAAAGCGGTAAGTAAGCTTCGGCTTCTTCTTCAGCTCTGTTTGCAAAACACTCCTGCTGAGGGTACTCGGGCTCTGGCGTGTCTCCAACCTAGATTTGTCCGTCCTCTAAGTCTGACGTATAACCCAAAAAAACAGGAGTACGTCAGCGTGCATGGTACACGGCAAGATCCCGCAAGGGAGAATAGAAACGGTCGAGCGACCAATGCAAGAATAGTAATAACAATAAAAGAAGCATGGTATTGAAATTCTAACAATTTAAATGAAATCCACCACTATAATAATCAGTAGAATCTAAAAATCAACCGAGTAACGAGGTCATGCAGCTAGTCATCCTATAATAGATCACTGATCTATATCTCACATAGAGTCAACGTTCATATTCTCGGATAACTGACTGTTCATAAATCCTCTACCTGCATCCAATGCCGCTACACGAATCGATCAGAGGACTACACGCAATCCAATTTCGGCCTGATCCGAACTCAAACAAAACTCGGATGACTACACAAATTCACTGACCACATGAAAATAACAATCCACTGGCCCAACAGACTAACCCCAGTGCGAAACGATTCAACGGAGCGAGCTTGGAAGATACATCAATAGCCATATCCGATCACATGAACCAAGACTTTCCCATCCACACTCTTCTTGTTTTCTAAGTCAACAAACATGACCTATAATAGATCTCTGGTCCATCTCCTAAATTTAGTCAACCACACGTCACTAAGTTTTGTTCATGACGCGCAAAGTCACTAAGTCATGAACTACTAATGGTTCTCAATTACCACAAGAAATAATAAATACAGCAGATCATGTGTAATAATATCATGGCATATCACATAATCAGAATTAAGAATCATAAATTATGAATAGCCTCTATGTAATTCAGAAAATAATTTTTTTCCAAAATAATTTTCTTTAAATTATTTTCTCATATACTAATTCAACATAAACCCTTTTTCAAAATAACTCCTTTTAAATTATTTATTATTATAACAATTCAAAATAATCCCTTATTCCAAAATAAACTCTTTTAAATAATTATAAAAATATTCTTTAAATATAATAATCTATTAATTCAAATAATCTTTTTCTCTGAAAATAATGTTTATCCTTACAATATCAGTTATTCCCATCTATCATCAACCAATCCACGCAGATAATAACTAATCGCATTCTTATCTATGCAACTAATTTAATGACAGATATAAATATGAAATGACGAGTTAAGAGAAACAGAACCTTGCCAGCGAGGCCAAGGGGCCTCTGGATGAGGCGACGACGATGGCTGAAGGACTGTCGAAGACAGATCTGGACTGCGATCGGAGTGAAGAGGAGTTGAGGAGGGGCTGGTGGTCGGCGACGTGAGGCGAAGAAAGGTCGATGGGTTGGGGCTGACGATGAGTCGAGAAGAGGAGATGGAGGCGGCGAAGCAGGGGAAGGGGCGGCGTGAATTTGGGTTTGAGCGGGGGCGAGGCGATCGGAGGCGGCACGGGGCTAGGTTGACGACGACGGTGCAGATCTGGAGGTGATGAGGACGACGACATGGGGAGGAGCAAACAATGGCTTCAACCCTAAACACACACACACAATGATAATCATTGATAAACACACACACACACACACACACACACACACACACACACACACACACACACACACACACACACACACACACACATATATATAGAGAGAGAGAGAGATTAATGGGTATCATTGTCAAGGAGGGGATTTCCCTCCTTGACAATGATGTGGCACAATCCCCATGGTGGGGATTTCTCTCTCCTACTTTATTCTTGTGTTGGAGATTTCTCTCCTATTTTATTCCCGTCATAGGGATTTGTAGACGTCAAAAATTGCCTATAGTTTCCCCCGCACGCAGCTTGAGATGAATCGAAGACGACGAACGCCATCATCTGAGTCAAATAAGATTATCCAATGCCGTAGAGAAGCTATCAAGTACATGAAGCGGGTCGGCGAAGCGTATGAGTCAACGGAACGACGAAATGCGCAAAACGGCGGAACAAGATCAAACCGGAAAGTCCGAAGAAGCCCCTGGCAGCCGAGTCGCATCAAAACAACTCGACCAAGGCCAGGTGGCTCGGCCTTGCCACTCTAGGGTGGCTCGCACAGTGCCAAGCCACCCTAGGGTGGCTCGCACAGTGCCGAGCCACCCTAGGGTGGCATAGAAACGCCCAAAACGCGTATTTCGACACTTTTCGCAGGATTTGATCATTCCAGAACCTCCCCAACAGTTTTGATATCATTTCTAAATATGGTTAAGTGGTTATTAACTGAAGATAAGATCAAATCATCATATCTTATCCGAAAATGCTGTGACCGAAGCCTATAAATACAAGCCTAGGACCCTATACACGGAGGATCTAAAATTAGAGGCGAGGCGTTGTCAAATTGGAGAGTGAACCACGAATTTCAGAGGAGGGCTAGCAGATCTTAGCGAACTCTAACATAAAGAGGGAGATATTCGAAGGATCTGAGGCTCTGTTTCATCATTCCTTGAGATCAAACTTTGTTTTGATCTCGAGAAGAGTAGTAATCTTACTTTGTTGAGATTATTTACTTCTATGATTATTTCCCTCGTGAAGCAAGAGCATTGATCTTTTATCTTATTAACTGGATCTGATCCACGATGGTCCACGGATAAACCCCGACACAGGCAAAAATCTCACGTAAGCAGCGGGTGATAAACGTCCTCTGCGTGTGTTTCTAGAGAGTAGTAATTTTTGTTTTATTCGTGTAAGAAAAGTCTTATAAAAAGAGTAACTCTTTCAAACTTATTGTAAACGATTGAAGTTGTATTGAGTTCCATGAATAAACCAACTTTCGATACAAACACGCTGGCGATCACAGTGGGAGGCAACAGTCTCGCTGTCGAGGTTGTCGTGTTACAACCGTTGATCAAGATCCTGGTTGAAGCAGAGGTCGAATACGAGTTCGACCGACAGAAGTTCGAGGAGTACGTCGCATCATCCTCCTCCAGATCCTCCCCTCCTTGCAAGCACAGGAAGACCTCTTCGTTGAAGAAGGTTCATTGGTCTTCGGATCTGATGCTGATAACAATTCCTCATCAATCAAGGAGTTGCTTATTAAAAGCTGTGCCAATTCTGACGAAGAGGGCTCGTCAGAGACGGCGCCAACGTCTTGCCCGTCAGTTCGCTAAAGTTCTGGAGCAGGTGAACGGACTTCGCTATCAAGCGAACTTAGAATTAAGGAGGCACCAAACAATGTCACGCCCCACTTCCCAAAATACCCAGGAATCGGAATGCGAACAAGCCCGCGACATATTAGGCCAAGGAGAAATAAATAATAGACCATTTCTACTCAATCTAATACGCTAAGCGCCAAACAATAAAGTGTGAAGTTACAAGTCCCCGATCACAATTAGCAAGAATATAATAAACAACTAAGAACAGAAAAGAGCCATGTCACAAATAGTATATCATCCGAGACACAAAATTTAGGTCAAACTTGCCCTTATTACAAAACAGTCCAACTAAAGAAATATGAAAATACATAGTCCAACAAAAATAGAAAGGAAATACTGTAAAAAAATAAACTAAGTCCATCAAATGACTAAAAGCGGTAAGTAAGCTTCGGCTTCTTCTTCAGCTCTGTTTGCAAAACACTCCTGCTGAGGGTACTCGGGCTCTGGCGTGTCTCCAACCTAGATTTGTCCGTCCTCTAAGTCTGACGTATAACCCAAAAAAACAGGAGTACGTCAGCGTGCATGGTACACGGCAAGATCCCGCAAGGGAGAATAGAAACGGTCGAGCGACCAATGCAAGAATAGTAATAACAATAAAAGAAGCATGGTATTGAAATTCTAACAATTTAAATGAAATCCACCACTATAATAATCAGTAGAATCTAAAAATCAACCGAGTAACGAGGTCATGCAGCTAGTCATCCTATAATAGATCACTGATCTATATCTCACATAGAGTCAACGTTCATATTCTCGGATAACTGACTGTTCATAAATCCTCTACCTGCATCCAATGCCGCTACACGAATCGATCAGAGGACTACACGCAATCCAATTTCGGCCTGATCCGAACTCAAACAAAACTCGGATGACTACACAAATTCACTGACCACATGAAAATAACAATCCACTGGCCCAACAGACTAACCCCAGTGCGAAACGATTCAACGGAGCGAGCTTGGAAGATACATCAATAGCCATATCCGATCACATGAACCAAGACTTTCCCATCCACACTCTTCTTGTTTTCTAAGTCAACAAACATGACCTATAATAGATCTCTGGTCCATCTCCTAAATTTAGTCAACCACACGTCACTAAGTTTTGTTCATGACGCGCAAAGTCACTAAGTCATGAACTACTAATGGTTCTCAATTACCACAAGAAATAATAAATACAGCAGATCATGTGTAATAATATCATGGCATATCACATAATCAGAATTAAGAATCATAAATTATGAATAGCCTCTATGTAATTCAGAAAATAATTTTTTTCCAAAATAATTTTCTTTAAATTATTTTCTCATATACTAATTCAACATAAACCCTTTTTCAAAATAACTCCTTTTAAATTATTTATTATTATAACAATTCAAAATAATCCCTTATTCCAAAATAAACTCTTTTAAATAATTATAAAAATATTCTTTAAATATAATAATCTATTAATTCAAATAATCTTTTTCTCTGAAAATAATGTTTATCCTTACAATATCAGTTATTCCCATCTATCATCAACCAATCCACGCAGATAATAACTAATCGCATTCTTATCTATGCAACTAATTTAATGACAGATATAAATATGAAATGACGAGTTAAGAGAAACAGAACCTTGCCAGCGAGGCCAAGGGGCCTCTGGATGAGGCGACGACGATGGCTGAAGGACTGTCGAAGACAGATCTGGACTGCGATCGGAGTGAAGAGGAGTTGAGGAGGGGCTGGTGGTCGGCGACGTGAGGCGAAGAAAGGTCGATGGGTTGGGGCTGACGATGAGTCGAGAAGAGGAGATGGAGGCGGCGAAGCAGGGGAAGGGGCGGCGTGAATTTGGGTTTGAGCGGGGGCGAGGCGATCGGAGGCGGCACGGGGCTAGGTTGACGACGACGGTGCAGATCTGGAGGTGATGAGGACGACGACATGGGGAGGAAGCGTTGGTGGGTTGGCGACTGTGGTCGAGGTGGAGGGGGGTGAGGGTGGTGCTGTGTGATGGGGGAGGTGGCGAAGATGATGGTGGTCGGGTGGCGGATGGCTGTGGGAGAGGGCAGGAGGTAGGAGGAGGACGAGGGGCTGGAGTTGGGAGTGAGGGAGATGGAGATGAAGAGAGAGGGTGGGATCTCAGATCTGAGACCTGATTTAGAGAGAGGGAGAGAAAAAGTGAGAGAGAATGAGAGGGAATACGATTATAAACTGTTTCTTACATTTGACGAGAAGTTCCTGGAGGATATTACCCATAGTATTCTTAAGGATAACCCGGCCGACTCAAAGAGTATACGAGTATAAACTGTTTTCTACCTTTGACGGAAAGTCCCTAGAGGATATTACCCATAATATTCTTAAGGATAACCCGACCGACTCCAACGGGTATACGAGTATAAACTATTCCCTATCTTTGACGGGAAGTTCTTGGAGAATACTCTTAAGGATAACCCGACAACCTCTAACTGGTGTATGAGGCTAAACTATTCCCTACATTTGACGGGAAGTTCCTGGAGAATACTCTTAAGGATAACCCGACAACCTCCAACTGGTGTATGAGACTAAACTATTCCCTATATTTGATCGGAAGTTCCTGGAGAATATTCCTAAGGATAACTCGACAACCTCCAACTTGTATATGAGGTTAAACTATTCCTTACCTTTGACGAGAAGTTCCTATTCTTAAGGATAATCCGACAACCTCCAACTGGTATACGAGGCTAAACTGTTGGATAACTCTTGCAACCTCCAACTAGTACACATGGTGAAACTGCTCCTTTCTTTCAACTGGTGACCGAGATTAAACTGCTCCCTTTCCTCCAACCGATGCACGAGGTGAAACTACCCCCTTCCTCTAACCAGTGCACGAGGTGAAACTGTTCCTTTTCCTCTAACCGGTGCACGAGGCTAAACTGCTCACTTTCCTCTAATCGGTGCACGAGACTAAACTGCTCACTTTCCTCTAACCGCTTCACGAGGCTAAACTACTCCCTTTCCTCCAACCAGTGCACAAGGTGAAACTGTCCCTTTACTCTGACAAGTATACGAGTATAAACTGCTGCTCATTTTCTCTAATCAGTGCACGAGGCTAAATTGCTCCCTTTCCTCCAACCGGTGCACGAGGCTAAACTGCTCTCTTTCCTCCAACCGGTGCATGAGGTGAAACTGTCCTTTACTCCGACAAGTATACGAGTATAAACTGCTGCTCCTTTCCTCCAAACGGTGCACAAGGTGAAACTGCTTACTATCATCCAACCGGTGCACGAGGTGAAACTACTTCCTATCCTCCGACTGGTATACTGCTCCTACCCTCCGACTGATGCACGAGGCTAAACTGCTCCTACTCTCCGACTGATATACGAGGTTAAACTGCTCCATACGCTCTTAATCCAAACGCCTCAAATGGCTAAGAATAGAGGAGAAATCTTAACATTGAGCCTAAGAGAAACTCCTCGATAACTTACCATGCTAAGGGCAAGAGCATAACTAGTCCAACTCAAACGGTAATTGGTAAAGATAAATCAAGTCTGTTAATAGCTAAGGATTTGCTCAAAATCCTAGATGGCGATCATCAGCTGCGAGTGAAGAGGTCAAATTCACCGAGCTCGTTGAAAGGTTCCTCACTCCGTCTGCACAGTGATCACTTTGCAGGTCTTCATATCCAAATTGTTCCAGATCCCATGCGATCTGATTCAGGTCTGAAAACTTTGAAGGTGGTTCTATAGGTAATAAAAATTATCTTTAATCCCTATCAGAGAAGTTCAAAACAAGATTGCTAAAACCTCGCCTGAAATAGCAAAAAAGGAAAAAATATTGATCTCTCAAACCAGAAGGAATTTGACGAAACTAACAGAGGAAAACTGAACCCTTTGGGTCAGTTTGGTCAGCTCCGTCTCGTCGAGATAGGCGATTTTCATATATAATTCGTCAAATTCTGACTTACGGTTTGAAAGTTATGACATGTTTTTCGTAGCATGTTCTGAAGCTCGCCTGCAATAGAGTTTAGCTAGCCTGAATGAGGCTTGCTCGCCTGATAGTTAGAAGCTCGCCTGCATGCTTGAAGTTCGTCTACATAAGGCAAGCTCGCCCGACGGCTGGAAGCTCGCCTATATGACCCAAGCTTGCCTGTACGCTTGAAGCTGGCATGCTTGCTTGAAGCTCGCCTGTACAAGGTAAGCTCGCCCTCATCAAAAGTGACGTTTCTACTCAGCATAATTTTCTTTTCAACTGGATCCCAAAAGTTGTATCCTTTTACACCATATTTGAATCCCATAAATATAACCTTCCTAGCTCAAGGTTCCAATTTATTGTTTTAACATAATAAAATGCTGGCCACCCAAATACCTTGAGCTGATCATAATCACGTGCTGGTTCTCCCAATCACATCTCCATAGGGGTCTTCCCCTCGATCGCAGATGAAGACAGCCTATTAATGAGGTAGCTCGCATATGTAAGTACCTCAACCCAAAAGATCCAAACCACTCTGTGATAAAAAACATCAGATCTTCTCCAGTAAAGACAGATTCAACCTTTCTGCCACTCATTCTGCTGTGGTGTATGACTAATTGTGAAGTGTCTATTTATGCCTTCGTCTCGACATAGCTGCTGAAAGGGATCTGAAGTATACTCTCCATCATTGTCGGATCTCAACGTCTTGATCTTTCTCCCTGTCTATAATTCCAATATCCTCTTTCACTCTACAAATATCTCTGGGACTTTATTTTTCGGTCATGGTGTATACCCAACAACGCCTAGAATAATCATCTACAAAAGTGACTAACCAATATCGACCACCAAATGATGTCGTCTTGGTAGGACCCCAAACATCCGTGTGCATATAATCCAATATGCATGTCGTCCTATGAATGGCTGTCCCGAACTTAACTTTAGTTTTCTTACCAAGAACACATTGCTCACATAATTCAATCTTCTCACTCTTGGCTCCCTTCAATAGCATCTGCTTGTACAACACCTATAGTGACTTTTCTCATGTGTCCTAATCTGTAGTGCCAAAGTCAAAAGATTGAAATATCTTAAGTTTCTATATTGGTGGTCTGACTTCTTCTTGATAGGGACTGATATCTCACAAAATCATAAGATTGAAATATCCCAAGTTTCTATATTGACTTACTGGGACTTTGTGATATATCCATTCTGACACATAATAATTATTAGTATTTAAAATTAGAACCATGTCATGTGATATATCCATTCTGACACATAATAATTATTAGTATTTAAAATTAGAACCATGTCATAGACAAACATCCACTGGTTTCTAAATTTTGAAAACAATTATTAGTATTTAAAATTAGAACCATGTCATAGACAAACATCCACTGGTTTCTAAATTTTGAAAACCTTTTACAACTTCTAATTACAGGAAAAAGAACCGAAAACTAGGTCTTTTATGATGAGAAATTGAGAACAGAACAAATCTATGATACTAAAAGTGAGCACGCCAATCCTTTTGACTGAAAGAAAGATGCGAGGAATAAAAAGCAAGGAACCATCACATCATAAAATGAGCATAACATGGACACGGAGAGTTAAGTACATATGTTTGCAAGAATTAATCAAAATGAAAAAATTAGCTCAGGCATGTAGGTTTCCAATTCTTTGTTTCTGACTAGCATGAATGAACACAGAAATCGAAAGAAGTAAAGTTGGGAAAGCTAAAGCACTACCGACCTGAGGATAGTCTATCCGAGATATTAACCCAAGGAAACAGGGAACACCCTTTAGCCTACTCAATTCCTCAAACAAATGCTGCAAACATCCATACAAATTGATTATCAAAGTAGCATAATTTAATAAGAGGAACAAGAACATAAAATTCAAGTATACATGAGAAGATTTTTTTCAAAAAAATATAAATAAAAACATGTAACTTAGAACCAAAATCCACAGTCCAAATTGTGATATACTCTTTGAAAATTATATAACAACCACCACCAAAGCCCTTATCCCAAGGTTTTGGGGTTGACAATGTGAACTTCCTCATCAATTATCCTCTGATTATAACCAACGGCAACAAATCATAACGACAACTATCCACTTTTGAGTTTTACAACTACAATCTCTTTAAAATAAGAAACATTTGGATGCATTAATATATATTTCATTATGTGGTAAAGCAATAATAATTCAAATTATTCGAAGCAACTTTAATTTCACTAGTAAATGGTTTACTTGATTCATTGAACAGGAAAACATATTACATTCCGATTCATCCTCATATATTATTAGAAGTACAAATCACTATTACAAGAAGATTCTGAAAATTCAATAACTATAGGGACTATGGGTTATTTTCCTCACAGTATTCCCTTAATTGTGAAAATTTTATTCCAATCTAATTGCAGACGAAAAACTAATTAAGTTAGGGTATTAATCTCGAAAGAAATCTAGCCGATGTTAGTTAGGGTTAGGGTTCAGTCGCCACCAGAAGAAGGAAGATTAATCTCGAAAGAAATCTAGCCGATGTTAGTTAGGGTTAGGGTTCAGTCGCCACCAGAAGAAGGAAGAGGAGGGAGAAGGAAAATACCTCCAAGAAGCTCCCGAAGCTGAACCGATCACAGGATTTCTCGAGGGTCCAGAGAGGGGTTTTGACATTTTTTAACCCGAACCCGAAAATATCAAATGGGGTTTTTCCCCCTATAGAAACCTGCTTGGGATCCTATCGGGTCGGGTATTAGCGGTGACAATTAGCTTTTAGTTTAAGCTAATTGTCACCGCTAATACCCGACCCGATAGGATACCAAGCGGGTTTCTATAGCGGGAAAAACCCCATTTGATGTTTTTGGGTTCGGGTTAAAAAATGTCAAAACCCCTCTGGACCCTCGAGAAATCCTGTGAATTTTCATCATTGAGTTTCTAGTGTTGTGATGTCCATATTTCTTCATGTGCAGTTACTATCTGTGATAGTGATGAGCCTTGGATGTATTTCTTCGTGTACAAGACTAAGGAGAACTCAGACCGTTCCACCCTGAAAGGCTATTGGAAGTTAGATGTGAGCAATGAGCCCATCAATGATCCTGATACCAAAGATATCATCAGGTTAAAGAACACATTTTTCTACTATAGGAAAGAACTTTAACCAAATGGGCGGTACATGCAAGAATTTCGAGCAACCAATATAAAGAACCTTAAAGATCCCAAGGTGAGATACTATCTCTTCTTGCAGGTTAAAAAATTTATTCTCTTGTGATGTATAGTTTGTGCTAATGTGCGATTATTTTCTTCCTTGTAGATGAAAAATTGGGTTATATGCAAAATACGAACAGTGATTCCTCGGGAATATGAGGTGAAGGTTTCAAAGAGGGTAAAAAGAGAATTCGTTTACATAAGCAATAAGAAGTACTTCCCCCTTATTAAGAAGGGGAACCATCATATTTCCTTTTTTTGAGATTGGTCAATATTTTATCAAAGTCTTTCAGTTGATCATGAAATTTTGTAGTAGTTGAAGGAAATTCAAAGCCAGTTATCTTTTGTTTCTTTTTTATTTTCTTTTAGCATTTGTAGTTTGATGTTGATTGGGCTATTTGCCCATAGCAATTTAGTTCAATAGGATATTACATGTAACTGTTTGTTGCCCTTTTCTTAATCAATGATGAAGGCTTCAAGTCAAAAAAGGCGGTTATGTTTTTTTTCCCAGTTATCTTTTGTTTTTTCCCTGTTATTATTTCAGTGTTTATTGCTCAATTTTGAATTGCATTTTAATTTCTTGACTTCAGTAAAAAAACAGACTTTTGCCACCTCAAATCCTTCTTAAAAAGGTTTCTTCACTTCTGAACTTCCTCGAATAACAGTTTAGATATCTCGAATAAAAACTGTTATTCGAGATTTGATTGTTTAGATTCAGCAGAGCAGATCGACAGAAGTTCAGAAGTGAAGAACCTTTTTAAGAAGGATTTGAGGTTGCAAAAGTTTGTTTTTATACTGAAGTCAAGAAATTAAAATGCAGTTCAAAATTGAGCAATAAACGCTAAAATAATAACAGGGAAAAAACAAAGCTTTCATCCGGGAAAAAAAACATAACCGCCTGTTTTGACTTGAAGCATTCATCATTGATTAAGAAAAGGGCAACAAATAGTTACAAGTAATATCTTATTGAACTAATTGCTATGGGCAAATAGCCCAATCAACATCAAACTACAAATGTTAAAAGAAAATAAAAAAGAAACAAAAGATAACTGGCTTTAAATTTCCTTTCAACTACTATAAAATTTCATGATCAACTGAAAGACCATGATAAAATATTGACTATCTCAAAGAAAGGAAATACATGATGATTCCCCTTCTCAAAGAAGGGAAATACTTCTTACTGCTTATGTAAACGATTTCTCTTTTTACCCCTCTTCGAAACCTTCGCCTCATATTCCGGAGGAATCACTGTTTGTATTTCGCAAACAACCCAATTTTTCATCTACAAGGAAGAAAATGATCGCACATTAGCACAAACTATACATCACAAGAGAATAATTTTTTTTAACTTGCAAGAAGAGATAGTATCTCACCTTGGGATCTTTAAGGTTCTCTATATTGGTTGCTCGAAATTATTGCATGGTCCATTTGATCTTGTACCGCCCATTTGGTCCAAGTTCTTTCCTATAGTAGATAAATGTGTTCTTCAACCCGATGATTTCTTTGGTATCAGGATCCTTGATGAGCTCATCGCTCACATCTAACTTCCAATAGCCTTTCGGGGTGGAACGGTCTGAGTTCTCCTCAGTCATGTACACGAAGAAATACATCCAACGCTCATCACTATCAGAGATAGTAACTGCACATCAAGAAATATGGACATCACAACACTAGAATCTCAATGATGAAAATTCACTATGATAGAACAGGATACGTGTTCTCCTTTTATTTTGCTAGAAAAAGAGTTTTAGATGCCGATAAACAAATAACTACGAAAATTTATCAGATTAAACAAAAACCACTAAATCCATATAAAATGAAAAGAAAGAAATACTCACTGGGGAGTTCATCAGGTTCAAAGAGATAGACATCAATCTCTTTGATTGGGTTAATTGGTAATGGCGCTCCCAAAACTTTGTTGCGCAAAAAATGCCTGATGACGACATCGCCGGTCGGGTGAAATAGAAACCCTAACGGCAAACAAGGATGGGTTCCGTCTTCATTGTATGGAAGCAATGGCGACGGCGATTTCGAAGGAGGAGAAGAAGGAACTGCAGGCGAAGAAGAAGAAGAAGAATCCATGGGTTTTGATGTGAGTTAGGGGGGGTTTATATAGAATTGGAATCCGAGTAGGAGTAGGAGTCGGGGAGGTGAGCGACGGTGAGTTTAAGCTAATTGTCGCTAATTCATTCGAATCCGAGGAGGAGTAGGAGTCGGGGAGGTGAGAGGAAACGACGGTGAGTTTCAGCTGATTGTCACCGCTAGTGCCCGACCCGATAGGATAAATACAAGCGGTTTCTATGGGGGAAAAGCACGTTTGTTATATCCACTCCCAATCAGTAATTTTGGGAGTTAGATTTCCAAAAATGTTCTTTTTGTTACTCTTGTGTTATTAAATACCCTATGTAATTTGTGTTATTAAATGCCCTTGTGTTATTAAATGCCCTAAAATCCATCAATAGTCAAAGGTTGTTTGCCTTTTCAGAAATTCGAACTTTTTACTAATTTGATTTTCTAATAAATTTTATTATTATCCTTCATTATAGTGTAACACTTCAAACATTTCAAACACTTAAACAAATTTTATTAACGATTTTAAAAATTCAAATTATATTAAAATTAAACCAACATTTATATATGTTCTCAAAAAAAATTTAATTTTTTAATAACACTTCAAACATTTTTAACAAATAAAAATCATTAATAGTTTTCATAAAAAATCAATTAACGATATAGTTCCAAATCCTACAATTAAAATGCACAATTAAAATGGAATTAGTTAATAAAACAAAATAAAAAAATTTATAACCTACCGGAATTTACAATAATAACCTTTAACTAATAAATTGTATTATTTAAAACCACTTATGTTAACTCTAAATTAACATAACACTATAATACTATAACATTTATAATCATAATAATAACATTTCTATTAAGTTATAGTTAACATTTTCATATTTAAAACGAATTTATTAAATACAAATTAACATAATTCTACAATTTAACATAATTAAATCCGAATTAACATAAAATAACAATATTATTTTATAATTAATATCCGAATTAACTTTAAATACGAATTAACAAAATAAGACTATAATTTTAAACCCGAAATAACAAACTAACACTATTATTTAATTATAAAAAACGAAATTGACATAATTAAATCCGAATTACAAAATAACAAATACTAATGAAATAATTTTATAAATCTAATAATAAGTACTACTAACAACATTAATAATAATTGTAATATAAAATGAGGAAGAAATAAAGAAGATAACTTTAATGCCCAATCCGGTGGGAAAAGGACAATTTAGTCTTCACACACCCCCAAAGTTACTGTTTGGGAGTGTGAATAATTGGACCCGGGGAAAAGATAACCCATTTGATGTTTTCGGGTTCGGGTTAAAAAATGTCAAAACCCCTCTCTGGACCCTCGAGAAATCCTGTGATCGGTTCAGCTTCGGGAGCTTCTTGGAGGTATTTTCCTTCTCCCTCCTCTTCCTTGTTCTGGTGGCGACTGAACGCTAACCCTAACTAACATCGGCTAGATTTCTTTCCAGATTAATACCCTAAACTCAGTTTTTCGTCTGAAATTAGATTGGAATAAAATTTTTACAATTAAGGGACTACTGTGAGGAAAATAACCCATAGCACCTGTAGCTATTGAATTTTCGGAATCTTCTTGTAACAGTGATTTGTACTTCTAATAATATATGAGGATGAATCGGAATGTAATATGTTTTCCTGTTCAATGAATCAAGTAAACCATTTACTAGTGAAATCAAAGTTGCTTCGAATAGTTTGAATTATTATTGCTTTACCACATAATGAAACATATATTAATGCATCCAAATGTTTCTTCTTTTAAAGAGATTGTAGTCGTAAAACTCAAACGTGGATAGTTGTCGTTATGATTTGCTGCCGTTGGTTCTAATTAGAGGATAATTGATGAGGAAGTTCACATTGTCAACCCCAAAACCTTGGGATAAGGGCTTGGTTGTTGTTGTTATATAATTTTCAAAGAGTATATCACAATTTGGACTGTGGATTTTGGTTCTAAGTTACATGTTTTTATTTATATTTTTTTGAAGAAATCTTCTCATGTATACTTGAATTTTATGTTGTTGTTCCTCTTATTAAATTATGCTACTTTGATAATCAATTTGTATGGATGTTTGCAGCATTTGTTTGAGGAATGAGTAGGCTGAAGGGTGTTCACTGTTTCCTTGGGTTAATAACTTAATATCTCGGAGAGGCTATCCTCAGGTCGGTAGTGCTTTAGCTTTCCCAACTTTACTTCTATCGATTTCTGTGTTCATTCATGCTAGTCAGAAACAAAGAATTGGAAACCTACATGCCTGAGCTAAATTTTTCATTTTGATTAAATCTTGCAAACATATGTACTTGACTCTGCGTGTCCATGCTATGCTCATTTTATTATGTGATGGTTCCTTGCTTTTTTTTTCCTCGCATCTTTCTTTCAGTCAAAAGGATTGGCGTGCTCACTTTTAGTATCATAGATTTGGTCTGTTCTCAATTTCTCATCATAAAAGACCAAGTTTCCGGTTCTTTTCCTGTAATTGGAAGTTGTAAAAGGTTTTCAAAATTTAGAAACCAGTGGATGTTTGTCTATGACATGGTTCTAATTTTAAATAGTAATAATTATTATGTGTCAGAATGGATATATCACAAAGTCCCAGTCAGTCAATATAGAAACTTGGGATATTTCAATCTTATGATTTTGAGAGATTTCAGTCCCTATCAAGATGAAGTCAGACCACCAATTATCCTAAATGACAATCAAATAGAACCTAATGTGATGCACATTGCAGGTCCAAAAGGGTCGTAACCTTAACTTTTACAAAGCTGAACTCAAGACATCATAATATAAGGCTTTAACAACCGATGCCCAGATCTGAAAGGGAAAGAATGTAAATGCTTAGCAGTTTAATCTGTAAAGCCTGCTTTGGAAAATATTCTTTAGAAAACAGTTAACTTCATTGGGCATTCCATTCTTTATAATCTAAGCCTATACATCAAGTAGTCGGTTATACTTGGTTGGAGCAAAGAGTTTCTAATTCTTAGAACTTTTCTTCTTTGGTGGGGAGAATATGTGTGACCAGAATGATATGTTCACAGCTGATCAGCTATTTAGCTGATATTAATGACTCAGAAGTCCAAACCAAGAGTTTTCTAATTATTCTTTTTTATTTTGCAAATCCACTCATTTAGGTGTAGAGATAGTGGATATAATTGTTTGACACCATCCGAACAGTCCCCACAAAAAAAAGGAGAGAAAAAAGAGCCCTAGAGACAGGTACTTTGCTTTGATAATAAAATAATAAGAGATTAAACTAGAGAATCTACTTACTAAATATGACGCAGGATTAAATTTTGAAGTTTTCTGTTAAAGATGGAAATGACATGACTTAAGGATCACTAGTTTGAAAATCAAAAAGCTATTCTCTAACTTACAAATTTTGCAAATTGTTAGTTTTGGATTCAAAGTGAAGGCTTACCGGCACCTTGTTTCAACCTATAATTTGTGGAACTTTAATGTTGAAACCTAGTCAATTGTTTTTCATGCTTCAAATTATGTGCCACAGTGATTAAGGTGCTACAGTAATTAGGTATTGTCCATTCTTTTCTTCCTCATGAAGTGCACATAACTGTGATATCACCAGATAGTTTTCCTCATCGAAAGGGGATGACTCTGGAATATGTTTAGAAGTATCTAGAAAGGAATTAAATTCACATTTTCATAGTTGGTATCTTTTTTTATAACTTATATGCGTCCTTTACAATTATTTTGCTTTTATCTTTCTTTTTCTCATCTGTTTGTTGCCTTGTTTTTTTTTTCAATTACAGGTTACTTCTTTATCAACTGCATATGAAACCTCAACCTTATCCAATAAATTCCTTGTTAGAGCTCTTTCGGCTTCAGCCGATGGCAGCACGAACACTTGTTCAGTTGTTGCTTCAGGTGAAGTGAAAGGGGCTAGTGAACCAAATTTGTCCGATCCAACTAAAAAGGCTGTACGAGGTGGGGTAAGTCACAAGCCCACATGTTTCTTTTATATGCATGAAGCTTATTCTCATACTGATTTGCTTCTTATTTTTTACTCTATATGATTTTCTTTGTAGTCTCTTTATCATGTTTAACATATTACATGTTGATATCATATCTGTAGGAAAATAATAAATATTACTAGAATTTATTGGAAATCTGATATTTGAGCTGTAATATCCATGCTATATGAAGCATGATCTGGTGCAGCATGTCCTTAATATGCTAGTTCATCCTGGTGACTCTGTTCCTATTAAAAATATAGGATATACATGCTAGATGAAGCATGTAACATCCATGCTATATGAAGTATCAAGTATGATCTGGTGCAGCATGTCCTTAATATGCTAGTTCATCCAGGTGACTCTGTTCTCTTAAAATATTGGCTATACATACGTCGTGGATGTTTGGCAATTTATTTGATTTTTTATGCTTTCTACTGCTAGCAAGGCATTGGACAGTTCATTTCTTGAACACAGGCATATATTGGTATAGAAACCACTGCCATATACTGTTGTACGCAGGCAACTGTCGGTATTCCTTACAATTTTTGCGGCAGTATATCGGTCTATGTAATACTGGATAGTTATATTTAAGGAAGCAGACACTGTACTGCCTAGACTGCAGTTCACTTGCATGGTACTATAAAGATGAAGAAACTGGAGTCCCTTCCACTTGACTTGGTTTACACTATATTCCAGAAAGATGAAGAAAGCCATATTTCTTTATTCCACCATGCAAATTTGGTTACTAAATGTAAGAATTGTAGGCACCTTCACGTATTTCCGGTGATGCATAGATACTCTTTGGCTCTTGCAGAATGCCATTCATTGTGACCTCTGCATTGACATGTATTTTGTTCACCAATGCTTTTGATTTCTACCTGTATTGTGCCTATTTCAGTTTGTTGACTGTGGCACTTGGACACTTGATGACTGTTCATTGACACATTAAATCAGCGAATCATGTTGATAACATAGTTTTTTTTCAAGTGTTCTTAATATAAAAGATGTCACATTGGTAGTTGGTACCTGAATAAAAGGTTTTAATTATTTCTGTCAATCTTATTATAGATAACTATTATGGCTTACACAAACATTTTTACTTGAACATCTGGAATGTATAGATTTATTCTAAATTCCAGATCATTGGAGGTTGCCTTCTCAAGAAGACCCGCAAGAGGCCTCCACAAGGCTACCAAGACGACTTAAATTATTGTTTGAGGTCAATTTTCCTCCAACCGCTGGAGAATTGATAGAGAATCGATAAACCTGCTTAACAACTTTGGACTTATTTGTACGTATCATTTTAGTATACAGGACGTATCAATTTTCTTAAGTTTCTGTTTTGACTTTATTTTTTTAATTATTTGAATTTGATATCAAGGTAGAGGTTATCTTTGTTTGAAATTACATTTTATATTTTGTGTTTCTTATTAGTAATTTTGATTGGTGGATGACCTACGAAGCACGGCACGGTTACTTCATAATAGAGAATTACCCACATTGGTTACTCCAGATAGAAACATGTTTGGTACTTCTACTAACATATCCTAAAAACTGATAACGTATTCTGATATGTATCAAGGACAACAAATAAAAAAATTCTAACGCGCAGATCAGGGTCCAGCAGCTGCTGGACTCCAGCTTTCTAAATAAAGGAAGATAAATCAACTGCTGGTTTATTTGACTTAGAGAGCTTCTTTTATAATATCAGAGATATTACTTTCTGTTAACCATGATCTCGTATCTTGCTGGCTAGCTATTATATCCAGGATGTATCTGTATTCTTAACTTTAGTATTTGTCATATCTGCATGCCCATATCCTTATCAGCACTCTATTACTGTATTCATCATATCTGTACCTTGAACTTTAGGGCTTGTCATAGCTGTTTTCTGCATCTGATTCTGCACATAGTAGTTGATGCTTGAGTTGATCGAATCTTATGATTTCCTCTGTCCTTTTGATTTCATTCACCCTCTGCGTATTATATTCTTCTTTATTCTAACTCTTTCCTTTACTTCATAAAGTCCTCTGCCTGTCAAACATATCAGCAGTATAGGGCCATAGGAATTTCAATAGATGAGGAAAGTGGTTTGATGCTGAGGATGTTTTCCAATTTTTAAGGGCTCCCAGTCAGATGGGTTTTCAAGAAGAATTTCCGTTTGATGCTGAGGATGTTTTCCAATTTTTAAGGGCTCCCAGTCAGATGGGTTTTCAAGAAGAATTTCCTTTTCCCCTTTAATGCTTTGTTGTTAATGTGGATAATCTTCTCATTTTGGATACGACTTATTTACCTTCTCTGGTTCTATATTTCTGTTACTATTTTGCTTATCAAACTTTAGCTGACCTAAAATATGGGATAAATTCTTCATAGTTGCTGTGATTCTGTTGTATTTCATTATCTGGTTCTACTACTGGTGCTGCATTCTTCTCCACAGTTGACTAGTTATATTATATAGGAAAAGAACCTTTCCTGTACTTATCTCTCTCATGTACATACGATCTAGACATCGATATGAGTTTCTTGATTTGTTAATTATTAAAGTAACTTTACTGAATGTAGCCTGTCTCGTGGTTGAGCCTTTTGTTGCTTATTGCCACCGGAAGTGGGATAACTGTATACTATGACAAAGCCTGTCTCGTGGTTGAGCCTTTTGTTGCTTATTGCCACCGGAAGTGGGATAACTGTATACTATGACAAAGAGAAGAAACGGCACATAGAAGGTGAATTATTATGCCTCTTCTAGAGACTTCTTTATTTTCTGATTTTAAATTCAGTTTGGTTTCCCCAATTAATCTCTATTATCTTTTACCGCAAACATTTTCTTTTTGATAAAGCTATTAGTGGTGATATATTAAGGAAATTTTCCTGTTCTTTGTATGCATTTATCTGTTTTGATCTGTTAGGTCATTCTTGCATTTTTATCATCAGTATATCCTGAGAAGCACCAACACTAACAGCAGGACATTGATGCAACTTGCCATAAATATGCAAAGATGGAAATATGCAAAGATGCAAAGAAGGAAATTTTTACTCGAATTAGTTTGCTGGTATGGGAACCATCATAATAGCTGCATTGTCGATGATAAGTTGGCAAGTTTATTAGCCAACCCTCGACACAGGTTTCAGCTTTGTCAGCCTGTGGTACAAGAAGCTAACAGTAATGTATACATTCCGATGGTTATGTCTAATTTGGTAGATATCATCTTTCAGGTACTTGATGGATCCGAACATGAAGTTCGCTAAATTTTTTGGTGAAAACCATGATGTTGATTCACTGGCTGAGGGCATAATCAAAGAAATATCAGAGCACAAAAAGCAAAAGAAATGATAGTTAGCTGGGCTTGTTCCTTTGATCTCCGTTTTGAAACATCATTGTTCTTGTAAAACATTTGTACTGTTTTCTTGAACGATGTGCGGCATAAATTTTTGATATTGCTGAGGAATCATAATGCCAAGATAGTTTTGACACATAACTGGCAAGTGAAAGGATATTATTAACAGTCCATAAGAATATAGAATTTTGCCAACATGTATTGTTGCAAGGATTGAGTTCATTATTTTCAGAACATCAATTTTGCAGTATTTGGGGCTATATAGGTACACTTAACCTACTTGTAATGGAGATGCCTTTTTCTTTTTAGGAACTTTTTGCTTGTCATAACTTTTTCCTTTTCGGAACATCAATTTTTGTTAATTTTAAGCAAATGCAAACTGGTTATGTGTAGTAAAAATATCCTTGTTTTTTATAATTTATAACCCATAATTTTTGTCAATTTTGGTTAATTTTGAAGGAAAGCAAATTTATGGTATGTACATTAAAATCATGAAAATTGTTAAAAAAATATGATTTATATAGCTCATGAAAATTGTAAACTTTTACCTGCACACAATAAATTTGCTTTCATTTAAAATAAATCAAATTTGTCAAAAACCATGGATCATTACTTATAAAAATCATGATATTTTAAGCACACGTAATAAATTTGCATTCGCTTGAAACAACAAAATTTAACAAAAAGCGTTGGTTGTAGCCCATCAAAATTCATGAAAACTATGTGTTATAGCTCACAACAAATCATGAAACTTGTATTAATTCAAATCGATCAAAGATTTTCAAAAATAAAAATCATAAAATGTCTAAAACATGCTCATGAAAATCTTGAATTTTTATGTACACGTAATAAATTTGCATTCGTTCTAAATGAGTAAAATTATAAAAAATCATAGATTCTAGCTCATGAAAACAGAGAATTTTCATGTGGTCATAATAAATTTGCAATTTTTCGAAACTAACAAATATTGATAAAATTCATGGATTATAGCTCTTGAATATCACAAAATTTGATGTATATATAATAAGTTTGCATTCGTTAAAAATGAACCAAAATTATTAAAAAAGTAGTTTATAGCTCATGAACTTCATGAATTTTGATGCACACATTTAACATTTCTATTCATTCAAATAGAAACACCAGTGAGTTATAGAGTATGTAAATTATGAATTTTGATGTATACATAATAAATTTTTCTTCACTGAAAACAAACAAAAAATCATGGGTTATAGCACATAAAAATCGTGAATTTTAATGTACGCATAATACAATTGTATTTATTCAATATAAGCAAAAAATTTAAACAAAAACTCATGGATTAGCCCATGAAAGTCGTGAATTGAATTTTAATGTACACTTACTAAATTTGCATTTGCTCGAAAATGAATAAAGGTTGATAAAAATTATTGGTTATAATTCATCAAAATAAAAAATTTTGATATACACATGAAATGGTTATTTGTTCTAAAGGGACAAAAATTCTCAGTACCATGGGTAGGGCTGTCCATTTTACCCGCTGGCCCAGGCCCGGCCCGGCCCGGCCTCGGCCCGGAAATCCGGGCCAGGCCGGGTTCCGGGCCCGGGTCCGGGTTGCCTCAACGGCGCCCGGCCCGGGCCCGGCCCGGCCCGGAACAGTACGGCGCCGGGAATAACCTCACAAAATAGCCGTTTTTTGACCGTTTTGGGGGCAAAACGGTCAAACCGCCGTTTTTGGCCGTTGTGGCCGGGCCGGGCCGGCCCGGCCCGGTAACAACGGCCAGATTGGCCCTTTGACCGTTTTGCCCCCAAAAACGGTAAAAAACGGCTATTTTGTGAGGTTATTTTGGTCATTTACCTAGGGGGCTGGTTCTATAAATAGAGGGGGGTTTTCATTTGTTTTCTTCACACCAAAAACTCATCTCTTCTCTCTTATACTCTTATACTTTCTCTTATACTCTTATACTCTATTATTTATACTTTCTAATACAATCCCCAAATGGCTTCCGGATCTGATTATGAAGAGCAAAACATATCTCCCGATCCTGAATTGAGTCCTCCTACTATGAGTCCTCCTACTATGAGTCCTCCTACCGAAGTTAATCCCGAATCCGTTGGCGACGAATCTGCACCAAGAGCTCCTAAACGGCCAAGATTCGATGTGTGGAATTTTTACGAGAAGATGACGTCACCAAGGATGAACACGGTAGGATCCTCACCCAGAAGGCTAAGTGTGCTTTGTGCGGCAAGATTTTTCAAGCTCATCATAAGAGCGGCACCAACCACCTCAAACGCCATTTAGATAAACACAACAAAGGCCAGCCTCCTCAATGTGATATCCGACAATTTCTCAATCCCCCTCTTCTGGTAGTCTCGGTAGTTGGAACTATGACGCTGCCAGAGCCAGGAAATGCGTAATCAGGTTTATCATTCTTAAAAACCTTCCTTTTAAATTAGTAGAAGATGATGAATTTGAAGATATGTTTAGAGATGGTTTTTATCCTGCATTTAAAAAAATTTCTCGTCAAACCTGCCAACGTGATATTTTAAAATATTATCAGGAGGAACAAGGAAAAATAATTTCTTATTTTAAAATTTTAAACTGTAAATTTTCTTTAACTTCTGATATTTGGACATCTAGAGCACAAACTGGATATTTATGTATCACAGCACACTGGATTGATGAAAATTGGCAAATGTTTAAAAGAGTTGTTTCTTTTATTGCAATAGAAGAGTCACATACTGGTGCTAATGTTGCAAATTTAATAATTGAAGAACTTATGAAATTAGAAATTTCACAAAGAATATTTTCTCTTTCACTAGATAATGCAAGTAATAACAATGTAGCTGTTGATTTTATCAGATCATCTTTATCATTGCCATGTCATGGTGATCTTTTTCATATTAGGTGCATCTGTCATATTTTAAATTTAATTGTTCAAAGTGCATTTACTGAAATTAAACCCATGATAGAAAAGGTTAGAACAGTTGCTTACATGCATAGTGCTTCTGAACAAAGACTTAAAAGATGGAAACAATTTTGTAAAAGAAAAAATGTAAAGCCTAGACTAATTCCAAAAGATGTTGACCATAGGTGGAATTCCACATATGCAATGTTAAGTGTAGCAATAGAATATAAAGACATTATAACTGATTTTATAAACTATTATGCTTCTAGTTCTAGTTCTGGTAGCACTTATGGAATAACTGAAGATGAATGGACAGTTATATGTAATTTAAATGAAATGTTACAAGTTTTTTATGATGCTACCATGTTATTATCTGGCTGTTATTATCCAACCATTACTTTAGCTGCTTTACAAATTTTAAATATTCAAAATTTTTTTGATAAATATCGTTTGGATGCTACTTTTGGACCTATGGTTTTTGAAATGGAGAGCAAATTTAATAAGTATTTTAGGCCTATTCCTCATATTTTTGGTTTGAGGGTTCTTATTGATCCATGCTTGAAGGATATTGGCCTTCGAAGTTTGTTACAGTCATTGTATGGTGGACAGGTTATAGACTTAGATGATGGAACCACCCTGAATGCTACTACTCATCATTTACTTATTAGAAATTATTTTCAAACTTTATATGATGAGTATGCAGCTAGACATGGTGTAGCTGCACAACAGTCTGCAGCTTCGGTTTCTTCGAGCTCATCCCGAGCCCGAGGTAAAAGTGTAAGTTTTGATAGGTATGCAATGGTAGCCGAGCTAACTGGTGGATCTGGACTTGGATCGTCATCATCGGAGGTTTCTGAAATAGATGAATATTTTTCTGCTTCTTTAGTTAGATGTCAAGGAAATGCTTTAGATATTTTGCAATGGTGGAAAGTATATGGATCAGTTTCATATCCTATACTTTCCACCATGGTTCGTGACTTACTAACAGTGCAGGTTTCGACGGTAGCTTCGGAATCCGCCTTCAGCACAGCAGGTCGTTTGATCGACGATCACAGGACATGCTTGGATCCATATACTGTACAAGCGGTGATGTGCCTACAAGATTGGTGGAGGTACGAGAAGCGAACGCAAGGCATCGATCGGATGGCTGGAATTGAAGATAAATTTGAAGAATTGGGACTAGCAGATAGATATAAAGAATAGATTGTAGTTTTTATATCTTAGCTTACAATTTGTAAAGAATTATTTTGGAAATAATTGCAAATGATAGTGATATAGGTGAGTATGTGCCAACCTAGTTGGGATTTACTTATCTATTGTGATGCGATTAATTCCAAAATAAATTTGTACTTGTAATTTGTAACTGGTTTATCAATTATTAATAAAGAATATGTTTTTATCATTTCTTATTTGTAATTTATGTCATTTTAAGTAATTAATAAAATTATTGTTTTTGTTATTTTTCTTGTCTTTTTTTTATAATTTATAAGTTAAAAAACATTAAAAAATTTTGGAAAAAAATAAAAAAAAATAAAAAAATAAAAAAAAGGAAAATCACCCGGGCCAGCCCGGAACCCGGCCCGGTCGGGCCCGGGCCCGGGCCCGGACCCGGCCCGGTGTACCCGGGTCCGGGTCCGGGTCCCGGTTTTGCCCGGCCCGGGCCCGGATTTGGCCCGGCCCGGATGGACAGGCCTAACCATGGGTATCTTGTGGTTTTTGGGCATACTTCTTCAGTCGAGAGGGGAACCCAAGAGCGAAATGTCCGGTCTGCCATTGGATCAGCGAACGCTATGCTCGTGTCCACCACATAATTGAAATGCGATCAAGCGTTTTGCTTCCTTTTCCTCTAGCAACCAATAAGGATCAGGAGGGACAGACACTCCCCAAAACTAGCTCATATAAATTGTGAATATTAATGTACACATAATAAATTTACACATTCAAAACGAGCAAAACTTGAGAAAATTCATAGATTATAGCTTATAAACATCAAAATGTTAAGTACACATAATAAATTTGCATTCATTCCAAATGAAAAAAAAAATTGCCAAAAACAGTGAGTTATAGCTTATGAAAATTATAAATTTTGATGTACATATAATAAATTTGTATTTATTAAAATTGAACCAAATTGTGGTTTTATTTCCATGAACTTTGTGAGTTTTGATGCACAAATTTAAAATTTCTATTTCATTCAGGATAAAATATAGCGAGATTATGCAAATTTTGAATTTTGATATACATAATATTATTGTCTTCACTGGAAACGAACAAAATTAGTTAAAAATCTTGGGTTATAACTCATGAAAATCGTAAACTTTAACGTACATATCATAAATTTGCATTTGTTCAAAATGAGCAAAAATTGACAAAATTTATGGATTA